GTTCTAGCCGTTTTTTTTATTATTTTATTTTATTATTTTTATTTTATTATTATTATTTTAAATTTGTATGCTTTGTTGTGCACAATTATACTCCAACAAAATAAACAAAGTGGATGTCCAAGATAAGGTATGAACCTTAAACCATCTACTATAGAAAGCAAGAACCTTACTAAGCTATAGACACAACTGTGTTAATGTTCAATACAATTAGTTTACTCATTTCAAAGAAAAGAGATAAGTCATGAAGATGAGAATTAAACACATGTCCTCAAGTAATGTTGGATGCTATGTAGAAGTAACAAGCCAATCTACTTAACTTACTTAGCTATGATTATCTTGTAAAAATATAATTTATAATCTATTTTCAACTCTATAAATAGTTAAATACTGTACATCATTCAGATTTCAGGCCTCCATGCTATCCTCTTATTATATTATTTATTTATTTATTTATAACAAATTTGTAATTCCTTTTTGAAAGATTAAAACTTCAATTCTTCAATTTATAACAAAAAGAATTAAAGGCAACCCAACAGGGTAGCTCAAGTGGCAAATGAACTCTCTTTGTGGGGGAGAATTTCGGGATAACCCGGGTTCAATTCCCACAAGTGATGATTCCCTTTGGGCTAGCTTCTGTGCCTCCCGAAGCGAACTGGGTGGACTTGGACCGTTAAACGGACAGAGAAAGACTCGGGCCCCGGACCACAATGTGTGGCTATCACCAAAAAAAAAAAAAAGAATTGAAGTTTGAATCTGTTGAGCCGTGGTCACTTGGCTTTTATTATTTTTTATTATTTTTATTTTTGTTTGTTTATTATTATTATTATTTTTTTTTACTGTTTGGAACCGGAACCGAAACCGTATGGACGGTTCCGATTCGATTTCGGTTACTACAATAACGATTACAATTCAAACTTTCGATTCGACTCGAACCGTGATCATCCCTTGACGGCTAATATCTTTGGCTACTACAATATTAGACAATTGTAGGCATTGGCAAGTAGTAACTAACCTACGTCACCAAATTGCCATTTTAATTATTAATTGAATTTTTTTGTGGCAATTATTTATTTCTTTAATGCCATCACCTGAATAGGACTCCATAAAAGAGCAATCAAGTTAAGTCATGGTGCGAGGTGCTAAATCAGAAACATATTTTTGTATATGAACACAAAATTAGAGAAATGAATTGCAAAAGGACAAACACTACTTGTTATTTATTTATTTTTTTTTTTTAATAACATGTTTTGTATTGTATGATATGGATTAGTTTGAATTGGTTAATTTATAACTGGCTAATGAATATATAAAATTAGCGAAATGTTATACTTGAAAATGTTGTATTTTAAAAATAGTGAGTCTCTAGTGAGACAGACTTATGAATCCTTATTTATGAAATGAGTCGGGTCAAGATGAAAATGTAATACTTATATTGAAAAATGTAATACTAATCAGGAATAAATTGTCCATTATTTATAAGAAAAAGTGTATTACTTTTGAAAAAAATGGAATACTTTTAAATCAAATTGTAATGTTTAGGGGTTGAACAATTACTTATGAGAAAAAATGTTTGTTACTTATGGGAGAAAAGGTAGTACTTACAAGAAAAAATATGATATTTTGATAAAAAAAATGTAATACTTTTAAATCAAAATATAATATTAGAGGTTAAAAAATTATTTATGAGAAAAATTATAATACTTATGAGAAAAAATATATACTTATGGAAAATTCGATTCATCTCATGGATTAAGATTTCAAAGGAGAATTTGCCTTTTAAAATAAAAAGAAATACATGTTTAACCACTGGTTAGGTCTTTATTCAATAGTTATTCCATGGACATCATTTTGCTTAATTTTATATTTTCGCGCGCCCAACTGCAAAATACATTTTTATAACTCATACTATACATTATTTTAAAACATAATGTACATTATGTTATCCCAGATATTTCATTATTCTAAACACGAAATTGTACATTATTTTAACACATAATATACATTATTCTAACATATAATGTACATTATTCTAATATTGCATATGTTACGGCCCAGTTGAATTTGCTACGAGATTGCAGGGATGATGCTTCGTTAACTCAGGTTCGGTCTTTGAATGAAAAGTTAAATTCTTTACTTGACCAGCAAAGTGATATATGGCACCAACGAGCTAAACAACACTGGCTTAGGAGTGGTGACAGAAATGCTAAATTTTTTTCACTCTTATGCGTCAGCACGAAGAAGAAAAAACACAATTTTTAAGGCTAAAGGATGAGTCTGATAATTGGGTAGAAGGTAATGCACTTGTGGACTTGACTATGCGGTATTATACTTCTATCTTTACTTCTGGAGGGGTTAATGTCAATTCTATTCTTGATACTTTGCAACCAAGAATTTCTGCAGCGGATAATCAGACTTTACTTCAGCCTTTCACTATTGACGAAGTTAAAGATGTTGTTTTTTCAATGTCCCCTGATAAATCCCCGGGTCTAGATGATTTTAGTCTGGCTTTCTTTCAACATTTTTGGCCGGAGATTGGACAGGATGTGGTGAATTTTGTGCTGAATTGTGTAGACGGGCAGGATTGGCCGGAGGGTTTCAATGATGCTTATATTACATTAGTCCCAAAGAAATCAAGCCCAAATAGAATGATTGATTTGCGCCCTATTACTTTATGCAACGTTACATATAAAATACTGTCCAAAATGCTTGCAAATAGATATAAAGAAAGTTCTGGATGGTGTGATTTCAGCTCTCCAGAGTGCTTTCATCCCGGGGCCTTTAATTATGGATAATGTCCTTGTTGCTTCTGAAGTGATTCATTATCTGAACAGAAAACGGGATGGATGGGTTGACGGGTTGGTGTGCCTTAAAGCTTGATATGACAAAGGCATATGATAAAATGGAATGAGATTTCTTGAAATTGATGATGGGCCGGTTAGGTTTTGCTCCACAATGGATTGATTTGATAATGCGATGTGTAACGACAGTTCGGTATAAAGTGAGTTTGAGTGGTTTCTTAACCGATTATATTATAACCTTCTCGTGGCCTTAGACAGGGTGATCCACTGTCCCCTTATTTGTTCATTCTATGTGCTGAGGGTTTAGCCCACTTGATTAATACGGCAGTACAAGGTCATCGCATATCACCTTGTGTTGTGCCCCGTGTAGCACCGGGAATTTCTCATTTATTTTTCGCCGATGATAGCTTGCTTTTCTTTAAAGCTACTTCTGAAGAGGCTGCAACGGTGAAGGAGTGTCTCACTGTTTATGAATCCATGTCCGGCCAATCTGTGAATTTTAATAAATTATGTATTATCTTTAGCGGGAATACAGGAGATGTTGCTCGAAATGGCATTATTGGTGTTCCAAATGTTAATGCCACCGCAAATATTGGTACTTACTTGGGTTTGCCAATGGGAATTGGTCGTAATAAACGGGAAATTTTCTCCTATCTGGAAATAAAATTAAGGCACCATCTAGGAGGTTGGTACAAGAAGATTCTTTACCGAGCAGGTAAAGAAGTGTTATTGAAAAGTATTGCGCAGGCATTACCAACTTATACTATGAGCATTTATTATCTTCCTTCATCATTTTATGATCACATTGAAAGGATAATGAATCAATATTGGTGGTGCAACCGTGGTATTGCCGCTGGGGCTTTCCAATGCTGGTAGTGCTACGCCAGTATTGCCGCATACAGTTCCAGAACCAGTAGTCCCTCCTAATATGTTTGTTGTTTACGTAGATGCAGCTGTTTTTGCAGATACAGGAGAAGCTTTTTACGGCGTTGTGGTGAAGGATTGTAATGGAGCTTTTGTTGGCGCCAAGAATGGGGCTGTAAGATGTATGAACGACGTCCATATGGCGGAAGCTTTAGCTGTGAAGGAAGCCTTATCTTGGCTGATGGGAAGGGGACATCACAAAATCATCATCTTCTTAGATTCTCAAATGGTGGTTAAGCTTCTGAATGGCATTTCACAGGACTATTCTTATGCGGGTTGTGTTTTGCGTGAATGTCATATATCTTAAAACGATACTTTGAAATGGTGTCTTTTCAATATGTATCTAGATCAGTGAACAAACTAGCTCATGCTTTGGCTAGAGCTACGCGTTCTCAAACTGGTCCTGGTTGTTGGCTTTTTTCAATTCCACCTTGTATTGAGTTTATGATTTAATAATATTCATCGTTTTGGGTTTTCAAAAAAAAAAAAAAATGAAATCGTCTTGTGAATTTTTATTTGTGAGATGTGTTAGGTTAGGATGGAAATGTAATACTTATGCTGAAAATATAATACTAATTAGGAATAAATTGAAAATATAATACTTTTAAAGAAAAATATAATATTTTTAAATCAAAGTGTAATATTTAGCGTTGAATAGTTACTTTACTTACTTTACTTGCTTAATTTTTTCCACAGAAATTGTTCAATTGTTACTTATGAGTTATGAGAGAAATGTAATACTTAACCTTATAATGAAAAATGTGATACTTTTTGATAAAAAAAAGATTAATATTTTTAAATCAAAATGTAATATTAAGAGTTACGTTGGAAAGTTATTTATAATATAATGAAAATTCTAATACTTATGTAGGAAAATGTAATACTTATAAAACCTCAACCCGTTCTAGGATGAATCCGTGAGACCGTTGAATTTGCAAAGCTTTATTTTAGCCATATAGGTGTCATTTTTTTATTTTTTATTTTTTATTTTTTTGTTTAAACCAGGAAATGTTCCAGGTATTTTTCCATCTGTTTTACAGCCTGGTCCACTCGACTAATTCTCATTTACTCGGAAGGCATAAAAGCTAGCACAAGTAGAATTGTCACTTCCCCACAATTGCCGCAGGTCCTTGGCCGCGCCACCTGAGTTACCCTTTGGTTAAATCTTATAAAAAAAATAAAGAATTCTGTTAATTAATTCTAATTGTAATGTTTGAAGCTGATTTAACCCTAATATTAGTTGCTGTTTGATGTTTGATTCTCTCTCCCTGCAATTCTTCACCCCAAAACAGATGACAACATGAACGGATCCCAAGCCCCACCACTAGCACCAGTAACCGCCGCCGCCGCCGCCGCAGAAGAACTATTCCAATACTCATTCTCACACTGCACAATCTGTGTCTCCGCCGGCAAAGCGCCTCCACCGGCGCCCGACGCTCCGCCTATTTGGGACATCATCATCGGCGTAGTATTCAGTATGTCGAGTGAATTCTCCGGATACGACGACGACAAACCGGCCGAGATCGGCAGCCATGAACACGACTCCATTTCGTGGCCTCCCCGGCCGCCTGTTTGTAGGGTGTCGATCCACCCCACGGTTTGATCATTAGGCCATTGCATCATGCCCGACGTTGCGGCGATTGTGTGGCTAGGATTAAGCCACGGTGTGTTCATCGGATGATCGCTGGCCGTGAGGAGACTAATGTGATCGATGTTGTAGTTGTGGTGGATATTGGTATTTTGTTCGGTTTGTGGAGTGTAGTGGTCGAGGTTGAACTTAGGTTTCTCAGCTCCAACAACGTTGGGTAGGTACGAGGTAGAGGTAGCATCGATTAAACCGTTGGTTGAAGAGAATTGCGCCGCCGCCGCCGCCATCGATGATATTTTGTCGCCGCCGTCGTTGTTTTTAAGGATGTTTAAATTTTCGTCTTGGGGTTTGGCGTTTGTTGATGGCGTAGCGTTATAAGCGCTGGATTGGATGAAAAGGCGGGAGCTTTCACTGCTAAAGAGTTTAGCCTTGAGAGCGCCGACGAGCCCTCCTTCCGGCTCCTCACTCCGGCAAGCGTCTTCAAAGGAGAACGGCTCTAAGTTTTCCGGCAAGAGGTTGCGCCCTCCTTCACCGGAATCCGACTCCGGCAGGTCAAAGTTGGTCCTCGCGTTGGCCCCGCGGAGGGTTCGGGCAGCTCGGTCATAAGCCCGGGCAGCTTCCTCGGCCGTGTCAAAAGTTCCTAGCCAAAGCCTAACTTTCTGTAAGGAGTCTTTTATCTCCGCCACCCATCTTCCCGAGGGTCTTTGCCGCACGCCCACAAACCGTGGATGCCCCCTAGACGATGGTTTCCGGCGTGTCCTTATCACGTCACTTGGCGGTGGAGGCAGCTTCTCCTGTGGTGGTGGTGGAGGTGGTGATGTTTGCTTCATGATCTATAGGTGCTGATTTTGGTGCAATGGAATTAGTGTACATAGTATATATAGTTTGTGTCCTTAAGGTTGTTGTCTTGAACTTTTGAACAAAATTCCTCTTGGTTTAGTTTTATATAGTATTCCTCAAAAAGAAAGGATCTACCACTTGCAACAAGCAGACAACTCATAAAATGCTAATTGAAACATTAATTATATTTAAGGGTATAGAATTACAATTTAAGATGTCACAATTGCAGGCCGTGCAGTGTTGATTGTATCGAGTTTTAGTGCTATATTATTCCGTTATGTCGGGTTAAATCATAATAGTTGCCTGCTCAATTCTTATACGTGAACCAGAGTACATGTTGTATTGTAGACCCTGATAAAAATATTACTCTGTATGTATTTGCAGTCAATTGATGTGTCTAGAGTTACCATTTTACGTGGATGTTAACATATTCTGTATATGCAATTAACATTTTGTTTGTTAAGTATTCAGTGCAGGTACAAAATATATCAAGTGCACATAATTTAAAGGTCATTTTGAACCAGGGTCCATAATGCAAGATAGACCCTGATTCATGGTATAATTTGAGTTGCCAGCTGCTATGGCCATGAATTACCAAAAATAATCCTAAGATTTTTATTTTTATTTATTTTTATTTTTTCTTTTTGTGCAACAGAGGGACAAGGTCCCAGGAAATTAATAGATGCGCCTAGTGGCCACACCTCCTACGTCTCGCTCCATAAAATCAATAACACCATCAGGAAGATTTTTCAAAAAACTGAGTATCCCACTCACCGTTTTACTCCAAATTGACGAGAAAAATTGCACACTGATTACCTTCTTAGAGGATGTGATGGAATTCTCCATAAGATTTTGTAGTATGGCTAGTATATAATTCAGCATATCTATCTACTATCTACTATATCTACTATCTACTATCTACTATACTAATAAGAGCCCAAGAGAGTTAGGCCTATAATGGGTAGAAAAAATGGCGGTCACAGATTTTAATCAAATAAATGACTTAGATTGATCAAAAGATTGATAAGATTTAAATTTTACACTAAAATTTCCTAAAATACCCACACACCGTTACTAATTCCGTTAAAATTTTAAGAATTGCCGTTAGTTCACCGTTAACTTACTCATTGATTTCAATTAAAAAAAAAAAAGGTCTTTAAGTTCAAACCTCATCCCAATCAAAGTTGGTATAATTAGTACTCTATTTTACTCTTATTAAATTATATAAATAATAATTTAGTAGCTACAACAAAAAATTATAGATATGCATTTCTTTAATTTAGAATTATGTGTCCACAATGCCTTTATTCAAAAAAAAATTATTCATAATCAATAAATTAAATAAGAGAAATAATTGTATTAGTTATATTGTCTTTATTTTTCTACAATATAAAAATTCTTTATATTCAAATTTATTAATTGATTATATTCGCTACATTGTCCTTACAATGTCTTAATTCAGTGAAAAAAAATTATTCATTATCAATAAATTAATTAAGAGAAATATTTTCATTAGTTATATTGTCTTTATTTTTCTCAAATGTAAAAATTTTTACATTCAAATTCATCAATTGATTATATTCACTACATTGTCTATTATCTTTTTTGTGCACTATTTTTCTAATTAAATATCAAAGTTATAATACAAAATAATGCTATATATTTATTTACCAAGTATTTTATTAATACCATGAAAAAATTAAAAAAAAATATAATTAATAAAGCCAACCATATTAACTACTTGAGAGATTTTGTGACAAAGAGAGTATTCAAATCACACAACAAATTGAAGTGAGAATCAGCAGTTAGCGGATTATATTAGCGAATTTGACCAACGAATTTATTTAATTATTAACATAGGGTAGAAAAAATGACCGCCAAATTATTAAATCAAATGAATGGTTCAAATTTTTCAGGTTTTAATTTTTTTTAAAGTTTTTCTAATTTATCCTTAATTATATGATTATCCATTTAACTTTTCCGTTAAATACCGTTAATTCACCGTTAGTCTAATTCTAATATTAACGTCTAATATAGAATTATAATTACACCATTAATCTAATTCTAATATTAAAGTCTTAATAGAACTTAACCACAAATCCTAATGTAGAAATCTCCTCAAACAATATTAGTATATATTTAATATTTTATGCCCTAATTTTTATTTGTTCTCCCTTATGTCCCGTATTTGGTTTCAACCATACCTATACAATTATTTTATTTACAATTATAATCAATCTTGACTATATTATCTTGCATTTGTAAACTTAGAATTACCTATTTAACCCGCACGGGCTTAGCTCAATGGTTTAGTGGGCAGTATTTGGGAGAAGAGACCAAGGTTTGAACCTCAGCGGCGGCAGTGCGGGAATTATGTCCAAAGTGGGCAGATTCCTTGTTCACACCGGCATTTGGTCCTGTCTGCTGAACCATTGAGTCACCGTGATTTACAACTTCCCACAATGCTCTGTCGGGTCAGAGTGTGGGGGGCCCTTGGGGTTGGGGACTCAACATTTGGGAGAAGAATTACCTATTTAAATACGCAAATTCAACCTTCAATTATCTATGCATGAATTCAATATAATTTTGTCTTAATATACTTTAAAGTACTTATTTAAAAAAAAAAAAACATTGGACATTATCCCAATCGCGCAATGCGCGTAAAAAACTAGTATAATTAGATAAATGTCATATGCTATGCAATGCAATGGATGTGGCTGTCTACAAGGGCCATGAATATATTACCAAAAATAATAATCTTATCCAACTTATACTAAATTAATCCTAAGCATGCACTACAACCCCTAATAAAGTAATTAAACTTTTGAATCTTTACATTGCTGTTGAAACAAGATTTTAAAGTCGGTGGAACTAACTTAGCTAGCCTCACGAAGTCGCGGGACATAATGAAAAACTTATTATAGTGTATAGTGTAGTACATATAGTTCATGAGAATTGGCAGAAACAACCAAAGAGAACTTTGAAGTTTTAAACATAAAATCTTCTCTCTGCATAGGACTCGGAACATCACAATATAATGGTATTTTTGAATAGGTCAACATAAGTTAAAGGAGTTGCAATTTTTATTTATTTTTTCTTGGATGAGCTCGATAACATGGAAGCTCTTTCTCATTTCTGGGAAGCTGCTTGCTAGCCTGCAGAATATATTTGTGTAATTATATTGAAAAATTCTACAACGTTATGCATAACAGAGACATGAATGTATTTTGTGCATGAATAACTGTTATATATTCTTTTTTTTTTTTTTTTTAAATATATTATACTAATTAACATGATACATTTAGGGGTGGTGGAAGTAGAAAAATCATGTTGGGGGCCACGATATAGTACAAAATTATAACTTCAATTGACACCAAATAGCATACAGGTCACTGGCACTTTTGTGGCTCTCTCACTCGGGAGATCTCAGAACTGAACACCAGTGGGGCATAAGTTAATAAAGAAAGAATTTTGGATTTGATTACTTGATTTATGTACTTTTATTTAGTGAATTTGAAATTTAGCATATATTTTGTGCTCATTTAATAAAGAGTTAATAGCACAAATGGTCCTATGACTATTGGGGTAGTATTCCTTTTAGTCTTCGACTTTCAATTCGACCAAAACACATACCTTAACTTTTATTTTTTACCACAAATAGTCCTCCGTTATAATTTCTGTTAAATGGGTGTTAAATCTAAGGTTAATATTGTAAATCTAAAATACATTTTTTGTACTCATTATCCGATATCAACCCGATTTTATGGTGGGCCAGTCCATTAAAAACCATCAATATTCATTGTCCTTCTTTCTCAGTTAATGACGCAGCACGTAAGTTGTCTTTGTGGTCCGCTAGTTAGCAATAGTAATCCATCCCCAGTGGTTGGGCTTGGTACTTGGGCCCCTTGGGCCAAAATCATTCCCTTTGCTTCTTTAATATGGTGATTTTTCCGGCGAGAAATTTTTGTGACATGGGATTCGTGACAAGAAAATGTGTGTGATGTGTTACAGGCAAATTATGCTCTGGACCCGTGTCCACATTGAATTGTGGACACGGGCCCAAAACGACGTCGTTTTTTAAAAAAAACGCGTCATTTGGTTAAAAAAAAAAATTTCGCGCGTGTTTTGCCGTTAACGGCGTTAACGGCGTTATTTTTTTTTTTTTTGATTATGAATGTACAGTTATGCAATTATGAAATTATGAACACAGAGCTCTAACATTATGAACTTACAATTATGAACATATATAGTGATAAAATTATGACCATGGAGCTTTAAAATTGTGAATATAGAGCTTCGAAGATTATGAATGTACAGTTATAGAGTTATGAATCTACAGTTATGAGATTATGAATCTACAGTTATGAGATTATGAATCTACAGTTATGGAATTATGAATGTACAGTTATTGATCGAATTATGAACAAAGAGCTCTAACATTATGAACTTACAATTATGAACATATAGTGATAAAATTATGAACATAGAGCTCTAAAATTGTGAACATAGAGCTTCGAAAATTATGAATGTACAATTATGGAGTTATGAATGTACAGTTATGACGTTATGAATGTACAGTTATAGAGTTATGAACGTACAGTTATGGAGTTATGAATGTATAGTTATTAACATATAGTAATAAAATTATGAACATATACTTCTATAACAAAGTGATCTGAAATTAAAAAAAAAAAAAAAAGAAAAAAAAAGGAGATAACAGTGCCTAACGGCATTGTTACCCGTGTCCAGCAAGCATGCTGGACACGGGTCCAAGGCATAACGATTGTGTGTTACATATCAGGGAAAGTGTCTTTCCCATAGGAGAGATTGGCTTCTGGGTATATCGCCTAAGGGAAAGGTGAGATACCTTTTCCATTTCATAAATACGGTAAATCACCGTATTTACTCCTCCACCTACCGTATTTAAATTTTTATTTTTTTGGCATCATTCGTATTAAATTTGGCATAATAAAAAATAAGATAAAAATCG